TGGAACAATATATATATATATATATATATTGTTCCACAATATTCTTTTTTTTTTTTTTTTTTTTCGTGTTTTAACAACGAACTTTTCAAACGTCGTTTTGAAACTGAGAGAAGGTCGTCATTTTTCTTGAATTTTACAAATACTGAATGTTTCAAATACTGATCACAATGTTTACCTCGTTGTCGATGAGCTCTCCATTGATCGCCTGTCTGAAATCACCTCAGACTTCCAATACCTTACAACGGGCGGCTTCCAGACCGAAACCGAGACTAAGTTACGCTTCAAAACGACACCGCAATCGTCTGACCCGCTATTTCGACGAGCCAAGCCGCCCCTTCGTAAATCAAGTGTTGTCGCAGCAGTCCCCGGGTCCTGATCGAAACCCAAGGACATTTTGACTCCCCGGAAAACAAAGCAACCATAGGACTGTTTCCACCGACACATCAAGGAGAGCCGCCGCAAAGAGCACTGCTATGACTTCCCCGAATCGCTTCAATCGATGGAATCACAAAACCGCAAGACGAAACCAAAAACATCAAAAGCGCCCATAAAACGGCGAGGGAACGATGGTAAATGGCGCAGACACTAGCATGTGACAGGTTATAAACGTATACAAAAGAACATAGCGTTAAACTGAGGTGACAGATAAGAAATTGTGCGCTCAAACGGGCGCCCGCGCGAAAATATACAAGAAAATCCGATTGCAGACTGTGAAGCAGACGACGGCGCAGAGGGGGATGCCGACGGGCCTGGCATCTACCGGCGGGCGGACAAAGATTGATCGTTTTAATCCCCGCGCAGACCAAGGGGTGGCGCCTCATGTTGCACCCTACACCGCTATTAGTCAAGCGTCATGTTTCCTGCGTCTTCTCGTTGTTCTTATTTGATCTAACTGTTTCGTTTGACCCATCTCCAGAGTGGCAAGATGTATTGCTTCACCGTGTTACCGGTGTTACTCCGAACCGCCCGACAGGGTGGTGGTGAAGGATCTTGATTAATGCCTCTTCTGATACCAGACACATTTTGTGTGTATGTTAGAAAAAAAAAAAGGGGGGGGGGGGGGGGGGAGACATTGGGCAGACGAAGGCCAATAAAAATAATAATAGTTATAATAGGGATAATAATAAGGAAAATAAAACTGCAAGCGATTACAGCAGCCGCTGCAAGGTCGGAAGACAAAAGACCGTCTGCTTGGTTATTTCGTCTTTTGTTTTCTGTGGTTGCCATTGTGTTCGGATTTGCTTACGTTCTCTGAGCGTTCTTTCCTTTGTGTTGAGTTGTTTTGTTAGTCTTATTTTTGTTGACGCGTAATGGTGACGAAATTTCACAGTGCGCACGTCAACTGCGTCTCGGAATGCTATCCAAGCATTAATTATTATTATTTTTATACAACAATATTTCCACACTTTTTTGCGGTGACCAAGGCACTGCTTTACTGAGTGTAGCGACTTTGAAAATTTTAGCTGCCTCAAGGAACCACATCAACCATATCAGTAAAAACGGTCACTACGAAGCAGTTTCAATCGAAACGCTACCGTGGTGATATTGACCCGAAATTGGGCGAAGGAAAAGTTTACTGTGGTAGGAAAACGTAAACATTTTGTCTCTTTTCTGTCCATTTCGGTTTAATTTCAGTGTGGTCATCTACCACCAGCTGGCCTGCTCACTAGCTGTATTTTCGTGAACAGCTACTGCTACAATCATCTGCATAGTGCCGTATGACCGCTCGTGAAATTAGGGTGAGTGTAATATGCAATTTTGAGCTGAATAGTTTTATTATCAGTCGTGGCGGCAGGCACCCCCCCCCCCCCCCCCCCCCCCCCAATCCTTCTCATTTCTTTGCCTTCTACTCCATATTTTCCCCGATTTCTGAGGGAGAAGACTCGAGCAATCCAATTTGGATCGTTTTATGTCGTTGGTCATGTGTTTCCATAGTTTCACCTTTGTGAAGGGGGTTTCGCGACAAACTGTAACCCTACTATATAGATCGATTTGCTCGTTTATGCATTTATTTTATTGTTACGGCACTGTCTTTCATTTACAGCTGAGTAATATGTACAAGGGTGATGAGGACTCCTCAGGATATTTATTCAGCTTTAGACGCCCCCCCCCCCTCTCCCCAAAAACCCAACGACTAAAGTCAAATGCAGATTATTATAATTACTGATTGTTCTAATGACACTTAAAAAAACTATTTCAAATGTTAACCCATGTAAACCAAATATTTAGCATTTTGCCTTGAAATTGTAGCGCAGCGAATTCGCGTGTAGAACGCTACTCTTGAAAAATGTCAGCTGCAAAGTCCTGCACTTGTTTTCTGAGACAATATTGAGTCCATCAGAAGTTTTAAAAAGAAAATGTGCAACGCTTGGATTTGGGCTAGTTGGTTCGACATTATGAGGTGTACTGCGCTGCGAAGTTACACTGAACACATGAACACGAAAACTATGAGACGATATGGTAGACAGATAAGAACATAACGTACTTATGAAAGCAATCATCGGATCTATTCCGGAGGCAAGGTGTAGGACACCTATCCTGACATCCCCCACACACGGTGTGTCAACACCTGTTCTTTCTCCGTTTCCTAAGACACCTTTGTCTATAATTGCCCGCGATGACATTAATTTTAAAGTTCGAGAATTGTCAGGCAATCTTCAATCTTCAAAACAAGGGTATAAAGGAGGAATAAGAAGAAACTGAAAATAAACAGTTGTTTGCCTGTGCTTTTATAAGCACGTCATGTTCTTGTCTGTCTACCATATCGTATCATAGTTTACGTATTTATGTGTTCAGTGTAACTTCGCAGCGCAGTATACTTCATAAAATTTGCAACTTTACTTTTTAAATTTGACTGACAAAGTATACAAAAATAGCATAAATCATATCTTCACTGTATAACATAACTTACAACGAACACGGGGTTAGATTGCACCCACTTAAGACACACTAAAAATTCTTAGCTTAGTTTCGCCAATTACGAAAAGTCTGCCAGTTTACCTTGTCAAGAGGGCAGGAAAGCAATCCAGCCGAGCTGTAGGCTACCGTTCAGGGGTAAGGCGCTATGCGACATTGCATATGACGTCACAAATATTTCCCTTCCCCGAGACTGTGAAAATGCATCTAGGTGAGCAATGTCATTGCCTTCACATTCACACACAAAAAAAAACACATAAAACGCAAACAAGCAAATACATACGCACACAGAAAAAAAGGGTATATTCTTACGCCCTCCCCTGTCCCATATAATACACCCCGAAACTTCAGTTCGACGTAGTGCAGTGCACTGACATTGAACCGACGGTACCAATGTTCACGAGCGGCTTGATAGCCGAGTTGTTCAACTTATTAAAATAGCTAATGTAAGTGCAATTGACTGCAAAAAAAAAAGAGAAGTAATCGGAGTTTCTTTGGCTTTAATGCAACCCCTCATTATTGCTGGGTTTTTTTTTCTGTAGTCTTTGATACGCACCATAGCTTGTTTAACATGTTATATCCCACCGTCATCAAGCCTCTCGTAAAAGTTGGGGCCGTCCCATATAAGACACCTAAACATTTGGGGTATCTTATATGGGACAAGGAGTATAATAGCTACACCTTTTTTTTTTTTTTTTTTTTTTGAGTGCGAATGAACTTTGGTTTGGCCGAGGCCCATGCGCCGGAGAACGTGCACCAGCAAGTGGCAAAAGAAACACGGATTTATCGAGAAAATCATTCGTGAGAGTTTACTGGTATTTACCGAAACCTAAAATGGGATATGGAAGTATACCGTGTGTTTGCTAGAAACAGATCTCAACGCAAAAATAGACTACGTATCTCCGAAGGCTTAGTTTCCGTCGACGTGTAGCGCTAGCGGTTGGCAACAAAGAACCTACCGTTTTCTTGTTCAAAAGTTATAAGCGATTTTCAAGCATTTTCAATGAGAAAATGGCGGCCAGTGATCCCATATGTGTCACCCATATGTGTTCACCCATATGTGTTCACGGAACACATATGGGTGACTGCCGTCTGCTACCAAAAACGAGTCATTCTTGTTATTGAAATGTCCAGAGCACACACAACTTTCAAATCAGATAAGGGTAAGCTCACACAACTTTCGAATCAGATGAGGGTAAGCTCACACAACTTTCGAATCGGATAAGGGTAAACTCCGAAACTTAGTCATCTGGTCCCCAACCGCCTGAGCTACATTTTGGCGGACCGCTTGCGTGGTCTATCTCTGTGCCGAGAAAAACGTGGTTCTCTTTTCTCCATAACACCCCGCGCACACATAGTTCGCTATAAAGGAAACACATACACATAAAAGAAACGATAACATGCGGTCAGCGCGGTCACGACTCAAATCGGGTTGAAAAACATCGTTAGCGTTCAAGGGGTGTCACCTTTATTTTATATATATATATATGTTTCGAAACCGACTTCCGGTTGGCCTGCAGACGGTTTGTGCACACAATGAGGCGCCGTGGAGTCGCTCAACAATGACGCGTATTCAGAGGGCAGGTCGGCACGCCGCCGCAAATACAAATAGCTGCAAAGGTTGGCACAAAATGGAAGCTTTCAAAATTGGACTACGCAGAGTCGTCTGCGATAACGGAGGAAGGGGAATTTACCGAAGCGATGTGTAGAGAGGTAAGGAATAAGGAAACAACAAAACGAAAAAAACGAGAAAGGAGGGGAACGGAAGTGCGACGGTCTCCTCTCCGGTGAGCTCGTAGCGGCAGAGGAGCACCTTTTTGCAGACGATCTCGCGTTGCAGACGATTTTCAGCTGCAGACGAGTAGCAGACGACACCTCAAACAGGTGACCGAACCAGCAAGACAACCTGAACTTGAGGACTGCACATCCGTAGCAGGCGAACGTGAGTTCACTTAAATAACATGGTTTTATTTAGGAGCTGCATGTGCCGCTAATAATATAATATGCATGTAAATTCTGCTGTTGTAGTTTCTCGAGTTGTAAGTTCTGGCTAATTAACTATGATCTCTGCTACTGTAGCAGATGAACATAAGCAGCTTTTATTACGTTTTGAAGCTGCATGAGAAGAAGATACGGCATATATGTATTCAACTTCCACCGCTCTTGCTAGTGTTGTAACTGATTAAATGAGTACGACTGATTAGACGACGCTTTTTTAGCAGACGAACACGAGTAGTTTCAATTATCTGTTGGGCGTACACGGGCGACAGATAAGATAGTATGCACAGAACATGTTGCTCTATTTGCTAGAGCAGCTAGCTAAGTGATTATTCGCTGTCTGTGCCGTTCAGTCAAACAATTCACCCTAATTCGCAGAACACGGCGGACCATTTGTCAAAGTTTGACTTGGAAGACATTCCTCAGGATCTGCTGCTACTGCTGCTCGAGAAAGCAGCATTCTTCAGCGATGGTCACCAAAAACAGCAAGTCGTCAGCACCGACTAGCAATGGCGGGGGAAAGAGAAGCAATAAGACCAAAGATTCAACGGTCAAGAAAGCTGTTTTCATCACGGGTAAGTTATATTTAATTGTCTTCGTTTGTTTCGTGGAGTTGTCCCAATGAATGTACTTCTTGTTTTGTTTTTAGTGACAAAAAAATTAAGGTACCAAATTGCCAGTATTCTTCTAGTATTAAGAGTGTAATGTTGCGAATATTTATACGGCGAGTTGTCGGTTGGCTTTTGCGATTAGCAAAGCCCTTTCCAAGTATAAAGGGCTCTGAACGCATGGTGATGCTGGGTTCAACAATATAAAGGGGACATCCGTCCAAGTCTAAATCGGGCAGGGCTGGGATTCAATTAGAGATTCAAACAAAAAGGAGCTGTTTAGTTATGATTAAGGTTACCGTAATATCCATTAAGTCGGTTTCGTTCTGTTCGTTTGTTTTAAATGGCAAGCGCGCGCGCGCGCGCGCGTGTGTGCGTGTGCGTGTGCGTGTGCGTGTGCGTGCGTGCGTGTGTGCGTGCGTGTGTGCGTGCGTGCGTGTGTGTGTGTGTGTGTGTGTGTGTGTGTGTGTGTGTGTGTGTGTGTGTGTGTGTATTTTGCTGTTGTTTTTTGGTACTGGTCACTGGTTCACGTTTCCCCAAAAACCGGTTGACATCAGGGTTCTAGTAGAACGCCGAAAATGGGTCGTCAAAAGAATTGCTGCTGTCACAAAAATAATGCTCGTTAATGGAGGAATATTGAAAATATAGTGTGTCTCCTCAATGTCAATGACTCAGAGACCAAGTTTCGTGCAGCTAGATACCATTACGAACGCTGCGTCTTACCTCCATAGATATAACAGACACTCCACTCACTCACGGGTAAAGTGGATCAAACTCAAATTCAGTGTCACAATGAACGGCAATCTAATCTTACATAAGAGCACAGATAGCTCACTTGTTTCATCTACAGAAATAAAGTAGGCTTATCTTAATCAAAGCAAAGATGAAAGGAATGTCGAGCCTTTGGTGTCAGGTTATTTAATCTACGTGAGGGAAGACATTTGTTTTTATGCGGGACATGGTTGCTTGGCTGTTAAATGAAATGCACCAGTGGCCTGAAGCGACCTTTATCACCTTGACTTAAGAATAATTTTCGTGAACAATTTCAACCGACGCAAAATATTTTCGCTCTGCATACCTATTATAAAGCAGAACTATATTTTTTTTTTCGCGGGGGGGGGGGGGGGGGGGGGGAGTATCAACACTGTATATAACAAGATCTATGCTTGCAGAATATTTAAAAATTGGTTCGGCTAGCACCAAAACGACACAAGCCTTTTTTTTTTTTTTTTTGGTGCGATGCGTAGATTTTGCAATATCGAATTTGTCCACCTTTCGTGAAACACCCTGTATATGTTTCCTTTGCTGAATATGTAATACACGGCGCAATATACAATCTCGATTGTGAATCAACTTGGACACGTAGTTAAGAACAGTTGAAAGGCAGGCTCGCAGATTATTACTTCAACTGCATGAGGCAAAGAGTACAATGATAATTGCCGGCAAGAACGACCTTTTTTTATTGTTCCCAATAGTCTCTGCTGTGATAAACGGACGCTCGGGATGCGTGTAACCTTCTTCATTTGTCTGTACTTACAGATCTCGTCCTAACAGTTTACTTTACGTTGAAATTTCACTTGAAGTGTACCCTTCATATAGGTGTACTTGTCCCTTTCCGCGTGGTAAAAGCATTTAATTTTTACTTTTGTTCGGCTCGTTAGAATTTCACCAATTAAAAATGTTAAAAAAAAAGTTAATCGCAATTAAAGCATTAAGCGATTAAACGGTAGGTTAATCGGTCAATTGCCTAGTCCTAACTGACAGGGTATTCATGCTCGCCAAGGTTTTTATTTGTACATGACACATGAGAGCCCAACTACCCCAGAAAACAATTTGTGGCTGGAAATTCGTTTTCTTTTCGCCCCAAAACCGCCGATCGAGAACCGTGGCCGGTTTGAGTCACGTGCTCACTCTCCTCTCCGTGGTCACGTGCCGTTTTCTATGGTTTAAACACAGCCACCAAATATAATCACAGTCGTGGGTCATCGAAGGCTCGAAGAATACACACTCAATCTTAAAAGCATAAAAAGGAATATGATACCGATTTTTGTGGTTTCTAAAAAGCTGCTAATACGTTGACTAGAAAAAAAAAATAAGTTGCAAAGCCATTTGACGTTTGGCAACGCTCCCCTCCTCTATATTTTTTTCTTCCTTCCTCCCCAGTCCAGTTTCGGTTTCGGGTTCGAGCAGTTGCCTTTTTTTACTTTTTTAAAAATATGCGTGGAGCTGTAGCAAAATATTGATTGGGTATTCTTGGGGGGTGTCAGTGTCGCTTTAAAGTCGTCGGTATTTAATCGAAGCTGTTTAATATGGATGTTACTACGGTGTGTACAGGTGTTAAATGGACCCAATGGGAAGCGGTGAAGGGCACACAAAAGCACCCTAAGCCCAATGGTCCAAAACCTGTGCTCTGGTTTGTCTGGTGTGGCTTTAGCTGTGATCAGATTGCGAGGAACTCAAAAGAAGCTTGATTGACGTAAATGTCAATATCAAATTTGTAGGGCAGACATCCAAGCAGCTATGAATAAGGTAAATATAATAAACGTCGTACAACCCAACCAAATTTGCAAAGTCGATGTTTTTTTCGTTTTTTTTTTTTTTTTTTTTTTTTGTTAAACTAATATATGGCAGGAAAGAACGAGCGGGTTGGTAGGTATGATTAAACTTGAGGAAGAAAACTTCGTTTTCTTCCTCAAGTTTAATATATGGCCACACGACCGATGCTCATCCAAATAAGAACGGGCAGGGGTGGGGATTAAACACAGGATCACTGGGTTCTGCATCACGAGCTCTCGCCCCAAGGGCTCCGAGCTTAAAGGGGTACTCCACCGATTTTTTGAGCTACCTCAACTAACTATATCTTCTGACTCCCCGGCCTTTACTCTCTCCGGTATGCTATTTAGAATCGCGAAATTCATAATAGTTATTGCGAAATCGGCAAATGAAAATGATGCAAAAACCAACATTCAACTATACGCGCGCTTTTCAGGGCCGTGACGTCAGTGGCAGGCAGGCTTGCCAGTCGAGCAAGCAGCCAAAAAATAGAATATGCCAATCATTTGTTCCATGCTGGAGCGCGGGTACTGCAGCGAGCTTCCCAAGCATTCATTTGACACCATGAAACTGCTTCGAATCAGTTTAAAACGAAATCTACAGCCCAAAGAGTGAACCCCTGCCTTCCACTGACGTCACGTTTTCATTGTTGCCAGTAGAGACTTCGAGCTTGAAAAACACGGTGAGGACCAAAACTGTAAATTCAATAACTTCGCGAAAAAACAATATGTTGACCTAATATTTGGGATACTATTTTCGCGATGTTTGTTGGTTAGTTTAGCAAAATTTCAAGCAAATCGGAGACAATGAAAAAATCGGTGGAGTAGCCCTTTAAGAATTAATGACCGTGCGCTAACGCGCTCGGCCATTAATTCCGCCAATGTGCACGTGCAACTGGATAACATCAAATAAGAGACATGTTCTACAGCTATATCACATGCCCAACGATAATACTCCCCTGTTTCCCACCAACCAATCCGTTGCATGGTATCGCAGGCTTTAACTAAATACATAAAGGACGCGCGTGTTGTTAAGGGTACTGAATATAAGGAGGGGACAAGGGGACGGACAACAACGACAAACAACAACTTTTAAATAGCAACGAACATGACGATAGCACGGCCGATACGGCAAGGTCCGCATTTCGAGACCTTACGCGCTGGAAAAAGCTTCGCATAGTGAAGAACGCACCCCGCTCAAAATGTTACACATTACGGTAACTCTAACAGTGCGTATTTCGTACTGCCGTCTGGAAAATGACTAATGTCATAGAAAAGGCAGACGATACGTGAAACTGTTTCGTCTGTTCTTGCTGTTGTATTTTATATATATATATTTATATATATATATATATACCAGGCCGATGACACTTTGTTGTTGTCCGGTCTCAATGTTTCAGAAGCAAGCCGCGAACCCTTTGAATCTGCGAGGGGCGACTAAATTGCATGAACGTGTGAATAAAACCTGCGCAGAGCCCATGGGCGTCGGGGAGACGGAAGTGGTCATAATTTAATATAGAGTAAGCAGTGGTGTTCCTCGCCCAAAAACAAATAAATAATTCAGTACTCTAAAAAAAAAAAAAAAAAAAAAAACTGCGAGTCTTCTTCTTTTTTTTTTTTTTTTTTTTTTTTTTTTTGAGTACACGGGGACAGTTAACCACGGCGAACAACAGAAGGGTTCCAGAGAATGGCGAAGCTCGAAACACGATTACACCGAAAACAATATACGATTTGCGCAGACAATGGGTATGATGTTTCACTTGCTCGTTGTACCTGCGCACATCGCATATTTCCAGATCTCGTATATATTCGCACTCTTAACATTTGGCTGCCTTTGCGTTCTGCGAGGAAGTGAACTCACAGACTTTCTTCAGTGTACATAGGAAGAGCAAGCACATTTGCTCGTGCGTTTGTTTACCCTCCAAATGTCCCCACGTACTTTTGTCCCTGTGTCCCCCCACCTCTCATCGTCTTGTCATCGTCACGTTCCTTGCGCGCTCTCTATATGCCCTCGTGGATGGGCACGGCCCTCGACGTCCCGAAGCAACAAAGACGCGTTTTGAAGCACTTGCTGTACGTATTGTCGGCGGTCAGTGGCACCTGTCGGCAGTGATGGCGGAGCGGGAAAGATTCCATATGCCGAGCATTTCCAAGGTTCCTTACGTTAGACTTTAGTTTTACGAACTATGTATACATCCCACTCTTTTGTACAAAGTTCGGGATCAAGGCATCGTTCACGCGTGACGAGGTGCCAAAGTCCACACCAAGGATATATACCACTCTCCCGCACGTCTCCGGTTGTTGCTTTTGTGTAGGGGTTCATCTCCTATGCCCCTGGCCGGAAGAACCCAGTCAGTATAAAACTGGCCGGTGGCATCCCGTAAACTCTCGCCCAAGGATTGCCTGGAAGCCAAC